GAAACTTCAGGAAGCATGTTGGAGGCGAAGGCGTTTGAAAAGGTAGGGGAGATTTGTCTCCCCCTAAAGAAAACCTGTAGGGACAATCAGCAGCGAAGACACCTCGCTGTGGTCGCGAGCTAAACAGTAAGACAACAAAATGAGGAAGAAACGGGTAACTGAACAGGCGCGTCTTAGAATGTTTAATAAGAGCGTGCTTTCTGTCCCGCAGTCCAGGCGGCCTTGGGCCGCAGGAGGGCTGCCCTTCCAGCTCCCAGGTGAACCTCAGCCTCGGTGTCCCCGGGGACGCGCCCAGGCCTCGCGGCAAGGTGGGAAAACCTGCAGCCCGGGTCCCCTTATCATTCCAGGAAAGGGACCTCTGGGACCCGACCTCCGCGTTCTTCAGCATCTCCTTGCCCTGTTTTCCGGGGAAATGGTTAAGCCCCCTGGAGCCTGTCTGAGCGCCCGGATATCTTTGCATCTGAAATTGAACTAAACGTGTTCACAGAATGATGAGCGACCTGAAAGATACTTACGTCTCATTTCGACTTAGATTTTGTACAATTTGTAACGACGTTTTTTTTAATTTTTTTAAGAAAAGAAACTGAAGAAATTGCAAAATCAAACTTTTCATCTCTCTTCCTGTTTTTCTCTTCCTTGCTTTCCCTCTCTCCGTAAAGACACCAGGGCGTCCTGGGGTCCGTTGGGAGGATTTATTATGAATAGAATACGAACATAATTTGATACAGTGAATCTGCCTGCATTTCAAAGGTTATCTTATTAAATGGAATCTCTGTAAAAGGTGTATATTTAATCGTAATTGCAAAAAAAAAAATTACACACCCTCAAAAGAGTAGTTTTTTTCCCACCAAACTCTTCAATACTCCAGTGCTTAGGAGAATGAGAAAAGAGTGAGGAAACAGCCATGTGAAGCAGCTTATGCTTGATTTAAATGCCCTACTATCGTCTTACCCCCCCCCACCCCCAATTAAACGGACATAAGACGAGCCAGTTCGCATCAGGCGCGGGGGTGTCCGAAACCCCTTGGTAGCTGGGGGACAAATGCCAGGGCCACCACTTCGGGGGACGAGGCTGGCAGCTGCGGGCCACAGCGCCCCCTCGCCGCCCGCCCGCACTTTGGCCCTGCATAGCCTCCTCGCCTGCCCTGAGACACAGCGACTCACAGAAGCCCAGGACACCGCCATGCCTAGTGAGCACCTAGGCGGCCTTGCAACCAACTTGGTTGCACAGATGACCTGGAACCCGAGCCCACATCTATGCCATTTCTCAGCACTTGGCCTCACAGGAAATGCTGGCTCCTTAAAACATGCACGTCAACACCAACTTGTTCTAATTGCATCAGCCACTGTCTGGACAAGAAAGAAAAACAGGACAGTGTTAACTCCTTTTTTAAAATGCACACATAGGGTGAAGGAGTCCACGATGAACTTGAAACTACAGAATGCCTGGGCCATTGTTATAAGTGACTGCATTTTCAAAGCAGTTATTAATTCACTTTTCCCTGCAAGCATGCCCATTCTCTTCCATTCCAGCTCGGACAGCAACTGCAAAGCCAAACAAGCAAAGTGCTCAACCTTACACAGGCAGTTCAGATGCCTGAACACCCCTCCTTGGTCCTGAACGGAACATGCAAGTCCCCACTCCCGGGAAGGGTGGTTGTTGGCCCTGGACCCAACTGTCCACTCCCTTCATGGCCGCTGCTCACTGCAGTGAAGGGCCGAGTTGGAGGCAAATCAAGGCCACCTTCCCATGGAGCCAGCCCAGCAAGGCTCCACGCTTGCAGCTTGTTCCTTCCCGATTGATTTTTTAAAGAAGACTAAGTCAACTTTAATCTAAGAAAAGGAAAAGTGATTTTTAAAAACCAGGGTGCTTTAAAGCAAAACGGAGTTTATATATTCCAATAACAATGCAGAGCGCAAGTTTTAATGTCCCTGAGTAGGCGTTTTAATTTGCTACAGTCACCACCAATAAAAATGGCATGTAGCACGATTCGACTGTTTAATAGTGCAAGGTAGACGGTTTTTATTAGTAACAGGCAGCAGTATGGAAAATTTAGATTTCGATGGAGGAGTATAATTGCTGGGGTGGGGGGAGGGACTACACACACACAGGGAAGAGACTGTCTTCTTCAAAACCAGCAACACTGAGCTTAAAAAAAGGAGAGGGGCAATGTTTCTTCTGATGCACCCTGGACATCAGGGACACTCCAATGCCACGTGGACCTGTCTGATTATCTATTTAACTGATGTCAAAATCCAGTCCGTCCAGATCATATGTCCCGCTCCAAACTGTGGATGTTTTTGTCATAACCTGCTGTCTTCTCTTCTCCGCCTGGCAGAGCAGGTCCTGTCGGGGGGTGGCGAACCCCAAATGCAAATGAACCACAGCAGGCTCTGCTCTTTAGATATGGAAATACTGGAGGCCATTCATCCCTGGTGGCAAACATTACACCCGATTTTTTCATTTAAGTTATTCTTATTGGAAGGGCCCCTGAAATGCTGCCATCTGATCCGTGGCTGTACGTGTCTGTTATCCGCGTGCATCTCGTAGAGCTTCCTCCTGGCTGAATTCCTTCCAAGGAAGACCAAACAAGCCTAAAATCTCGGAAGTGACTGACTCCACAGAGCTGCCACCTCCTTCTCTCTCTTTCCCTCCCTCTTTCATTTTAACTCTGCAACAGTTGATAGAAAATATCTGCCCTGAATGGAAATGGATGTTGAGGTGGGTTCCCAGCATTTGTGGAAAAGCCCCTCCCTACTGGGGCTCGGCAGACACCCAGAGGGCTTGGAGGGGAGTGGTGTGCTGCGGGGTGTCGGAGAGAGTGGTGTGAATCTATAGGGGTGTCTACTCGTGAGGGGAGTGGTGTTTGTGTGGTGGGGAGAGTAGTATATGCGGGTGGCATGGAGGGGTTGTGTGGAAGGCGGTGGGGGTGTGGTTTGCAGGTAGAGTGGTAGGGGGAGGTGTGTGAGGACAGCAGTGGGTGGGAGGCCTGGTGGGGGGGTGGTGGTTAGGGGCTGCGAGGGAGGGGGGCGCTGGTGTAAAGTGCCTGGACCTCACCTACCTGGGATGTCAAGCGGGCAGGCCCAGAGGGTAGGCCTTCGCAAGCACAAAGTTGCAGTTAGCAACTGGTCCATCTGACCTAGGGACCGACAAGTGCAACCCGACTGCGAGGTGCAGGCTCGTCGGGCGCCCCCGGCCCTGGTCTCCGGCAGAAGCCCCGCTCTCTCTCCGCGCAGCAGCCGCGCCTGGCAGAGGGAATGCGCGGGACACGCACATCGCCGGCACGACTTGGACTACAATTCCGTATCCGAGGCCGCCCGAGTTGCGGGGGCTGTGCGTGAGGGACGGTAGACCTATTCCCGCCAGACCACCAGCCCACCAGCCCTGGCTCGGCGCGGCTCACTTGCCCTCCCGGGCCACCACCGCCGTGGGCTCCGTGGACGAGGGAGGCACTTGTTGGGTGAACCTGGGCCCCGCCCCCACCAGCACACACCCAACTCCCGAGGACACCCTGAAGGCCCCCAGCATTGACGCCTCTAGCCTGTTCATCAGACGCCCTCTTCTGCCGCCCTTAGGGGAGGGGAGCGAGGTGGAGGTTGAAGAGAGCGACGGGGCTTTCAGGGGCCAGGATTCCAAAGGCTGTCGTTAAGGCTCATGCCTCCAGGCCCTTGACGCGACTCCCGAACTACGTGTTACCTGAGCTACCTGTGCTGCCGACTTCGCCCCTGCCACCTGCCTGCTGCCCTCTCGTTCCTTCCCGAGGCGGCAACGAGGATTCACGTCGTGCCAGAGGCGGTTTGTCCGGCAACAGTCTTGTCCCCGAGTATGTTGTCAACACGAATCCAAAAAAGGAGTCATCTTATTAAATACAGAATAATTAAAAACATTTCAGGAGGGCATCTTCCTGGGTGAAAAGCGGTTGGCGTGTGATAAGACGCTTCCAACAGCGGAGCGAGGGACCCGGGGTCTCCTCTGCGCTCAGGGCAGAAGGCTCACCTCAGGGCCCTCCATGCAGTTCACAGCGAAGGCGCCCAGGCTCCGGGGCCTGCGGGGACACGCTCGGCGGCTCGGGACCGCGGGCCAGGCAACTGGACTCGCAGTCATGCTAGCAGCCTCTGGGCCGCGAGGTGGAGTAGGCCGAGGAAGGTGGAAGCGAAAGCCACGTACGCCACCCCAAGGTGGACCAGGCCGCGTGCCACCGTCCTGCTCCCCTCCTCTTGCGGCTCCCGGCCGGGCACTGGGGTAGGGCGCGCAGTCACCTGGGCCAGCCTCTTCGGGCCGGAGAAGGGAGAACGGGCATGCGTTCCCCAATGGGACCCACACGGGCCGGACTGCGGCGGGCTCTCGCTCGTCGGTGCCGGGGAGTGGGGGGGGAGGTGAAGTGGCTGGAGAGGAGGGGGCTACTTGGGAGGGGAAGCCAGCCGGCGCGGAGTGGGGGGGTGGCTGAAGGAGGGTAGGAGGGAAGTGGAAACAGGCGGGGAGTACGTGGGGGCGCGGCCCGGGGCGCGCAGCT